TAGATAAAGACAAGCTTAATTAACGTTTAAGTGAATCAGCATAAAAGAGGTGTTAATGTAGACATGTGATATTTCAGTGTTTAATTTTGTGGACATTTTCTGATTTTTAGATGAGTAAACGAGGAGGAGATGATCGCATACAAACACAACAGTGCACAATGACTGCATTGGAAACATCGAAACCAATTTCAACAGTTGCATTCGAACTCATTGAAGATGTCATTCGTAAGGTGTGCGAGGAACTGGATGAATCAAGCGATACCTTAACAGGCACGCAGTCTGCACAGTCTTCATCAGCACTGATCACGGAACCTTTACGCAGACGGCCCGGAGAGAGTCGAATAGTTGCACCGTTACGCATTCGTATCAAACAAGTGGCTCGTAAGGCACGTGAACCACGTGAACGCAGACCCGCCAGATCCAAAGACTATTCGCCGCCCGGATGGGGCAGCACACACACCAAACATAAACCACAAGATAATAGCAATCAGTTATCACTAACTCAAGCACTGAACGCTTTATCACAGCAAAAACCATCCACATCAAGAGGTAGCCGGAAGTCGTTGACTCCGTCGGCCATTGTGAATTCAAGTCCAGCAGCAATCCGAACTTCTGCAAGACAACGGAGAAACGCGTTGAAGCAAATAGCGATGCAAAGTGAAGAGTCAGTGTCGGTAAGTAGCCTTATCTTTCACTGTTTTTAATCGCTTTTGAATTTTCTATTCCACTGTATCTTGATGAGAATATAGAATCAATTCGATTCGTACAAAGCAAACAAGTATTTTCTCAGCAACGACGAATTTAATGGTCGATCAGCATCAGCAGTGAACGACCCGACCCGTTTAATGTCGTTCAACAAAACTCAACGAATTTTATGAGAAAATACGTTAAGAATTGTAAATTTTGCGATATAAACTAGTACATTGAATTTGATGAAAGCAAAAACAGTGATTTCAATATGGGAATATCGTAAGGGTAATGATGATCATGTTGAGATTATAAACTAGCATTGCATATTTGTGATATATGGGAATGTTGACTTAGTTTGTTTTTTGACTTGATTCAGACACCAGACGTTCTTTGTCTTGATGCGGATGTGACAGCTGAGGAAAGCAACGTGAGTGAAAAACGCTTGTCATCGATAACTCGAACACCGTGCACCGCTGAGACTATCCGAGCTCGCATCAAGGAATCCGAGGGCTTGATCGCTGATATTGGCTCGTTTGCTACGCAGTTCTATAATGAGTCAGATTTTTCATCTGGCCGAATGAGCGTATCAAAACACCAAGATGACGGCGCGGAAGGATTCAAACTGCAGGTGAAAGAGGAGCAACAGGATGGCGACGATGGGGTGGGTACTTGTTAAGTTTACGATGATTTTATTCATTAGTTTGATGACACGTTGCTTCACCTTCACTCAGTTGTGTGCGATGCTCACCCGATTCATCGAATTTGCAGCCATCCGAACCGAAAGAGCAACCGCCCGAAACCAGCCAGGATGGGAATGCGACAGTTGGGCAATCAGACGGCCGTCCTCAACGCCGTAAATCCGTCAACTACACACGCCTCTATCCGGAATTGTTCCCGAGTAAACGTCGTCGTCGTAAAAGTGTGCGGAGTGTGATCAGTGACGATGAACCGATAAACAGCACTAGTGCGAGTGTCGTTGAGAAGCATTCACCGCCGATCATACCGATACCTTTCGAACAGCAGCAGCCACCCAAAGGACGGAAACGTAGCTCGAGAGGCAAGAAAGATGCAACACTAGCGAGTATTCTCTCATCACCAGGTGGTTATTGACCTTGCGATTTGTGATTCTGTATTCTGCATTACATAAGAATTGATCATCACTTATATTATCAAACATCTCATTTAGCAACATTTTTCTTCATCCACACTTTTGGGTAACCACCAACCAACTGCAGTCATTTGCAAGACTGCAGTCAATCCGATATTGAATCTGAATACAGCGTTAAAAAAAGTGTTGTCATAGACGACAAATCATTGACCGTATGCGCAATTCAGGAAGTGATGTGGCTCGACCGGACTACAACGAAATGGCCGATAGTCCAATGTTGAGTGCGAGTGAACGCAGACGCCAGAAAAAAAGTCAGCAACGCAGTTCGCACAAGAAAAGCACTGATTCAACGACAAATGAGGAATCGCTTGCACAAGAGGATTCCGAAGCGGCGACGGTGAATACACCAGATCAGCAGCTGACTGAAGCGGACGGCAAAGAAGAGCCTCAAAATGAAATGGTTGAACTGGCTGCGGTCAGTGTAGCCGAAGAAACGGATATGAAAGATGATTCTACGTTGATGGTTTTGAAACGAAAGCATGACGGCAGCAGTGCAGAACGAAAGGTTTTTTGAAGAAATTTTCCACAAATATGCACAAATTCATTGCAGAACAGCTCGTTGATTGTGCATACATATGATATGCTTGCTTGACTTTCACTTCAGATCTCCAAATGTTGAATGTAAATTAGTTGCAAACAGTTAGTTGCTTCAGTCGATCAGAGCTGAAGAATTCATCCAAAAATTCTCAATGCATTCTCAAATTACTGATTTTCTAGGACCAGAATTTTTTAAAGAGAACTTTTAGTTAATTCGAAATAGTTCATCTCGCATCCGCACTCAGCTTGTGTGCATTGCGAGTGAATTCCCAATGCGTCAACAACTGTTGGCTTTCATAGTTGGCGATTCGACTGCATCTTATTCTATTCAGAGTCGACGATCATCAGACTGCAACGCTAAATTGTCAGTATCGTTATCCGCCGAAATGGGACAACAAACGCC